TTCACAAAAAGAATTATTTTCAAAAGAACGGAATTGATTTCTTACAATTTTTACTTGTCAGTGGAAACAAATACCTCATTAGATCTGACTAAATACTCAGAATATCGATGAAAAAAAAATTTCAGACATGTATAGATCTGACAAAGATAGGTATTAAATTATGGCTGCTGGGCTGACAAAAGAGATTTTCTTTTTTAAAGTCTGACACTGTCAGTCCGGCAATACAAAACAAAAATTTTTAAAAAAAAAGATTCTACCGACTCAGCCGGCAGAATCTGCACAAACTTTAAAAAGCTCAGTCCGGCGGCCAGTCCAATTTTTTAAAAAAAAAAGTTTCCATGCTGGGCGGCGGAAGAAGGGCATGAAGAACTCAATTGCGTTTCCACTTCTTTTTGTCTCTTGTCTTGAGTCTCTTTATAGCCCCTTCTATAGGCCAGCAACCCAATCTTTGCCCGACAACTTTCAGTTTCCCAGTTAAAGCTGTATGTGGAATTGAAGGGAATCCGAGATGTTTTGATGAAGCACTGAAACGGTTTCCAGCAAGTGCAAAGCCTTAAAAATGTTCATGCAGTGATGCCAGACCTGCAAGTAGCCAATGCCTGTGTTATATTGTTTACCAGTCCGCGAACAAAACGATTGTTAAGTAATTGCAGTTGATTTTTCAAAACTTATATTTGATAAATTAAAATAATTAATTAAATATTTATTATAATATAAACAACTATATGTCATTGAGTTGATTGAATAATATTTTCTTTTTCTTTTTTGGCATTTCAAGTAATTGTCAATTAAGTTTCAATTGAAATAAAGATTTTATAATTATTTAAATTATTCAATAAAATTATCAATTTAAGATGAACATAAATATAAATACATTAAATTGTATTATTGAAATATTTAGTTTAATATGAAGGAAAGACAAGAAGAAATGGCAAGAAATTTTTAAAAATTTATGTGAGTCCTTTATATTGGTAATCACATTTATTTGTTATTATAATCATAATGGCTGATCATAACCGATTGAAACTCATATCCACAAATCGTATAACGATTTGTGTTATATTATTTACAACTAAAATTACTATATACTCAAATTAAAATTTCTTTTTTCCGCTAAATTTTCTTTTATATATGATTTATGTGTTATCATTTGTTGGTAATTAATTTAACGAAAAGATGCTCTTTAGGCTAATATGTTTTGACAATGTGGATTACTTTTAAGGATTTTAATGAGATTTAGAACACATTTTTTATGCATTTAATCTAATTCACATTTTATTCCATTTTAATTATTTAAAACATAAGGAACCAAAAAATATGAAGTCAAACTTTTGACTAATTCTAACGTGATTTTGACCGTTAGATATTATAGTTTTCTACTAGTTGTCCCAAATTTGGCTAAAATAAAAAATTTGGGATCATAGTTATTTTGGTCAAATATCAGAGATTAGTTTAACTCATATACTAAACGTTGGGGGGACCAAAATTGCACAAGTTCCTTTATTTTAATCATGTTTGATATCCCAACCCTTTCTTTTATATTTACGCTTCAATTATTTCAAATATGAAACTCAATTAAAAAAAATTAAATCTACCACAATATTTGTTTTGACATGTACAAAATTCACTAAATAATGTTGAAAATTTCACCCATTTTTCACTACAACAATTTCACCCTTTTTTTTAATTAAAAACTTATGCCACTTGACGTACTAAACCCGACAATCTTTTTAGTTAATTAATTGACGTTTCAAAGTTGAAACGTAAGAAAAAGGTGAAAACACATTTATTAAAACAATAATTATTTGATTTTATTATGTTAAAAAAAGGTTTTGTAAACAAGAAGTCTCATTCAATTTGCAATCAGAATCAGATACAGTTCTCAAATTGTCACAAAATAATCGTTAAAATTACAATGTATAAGATTTGATATTAATTTTTTGTTATAAAATATATAGAAAAATAAAAAAAATGTACAAATTTATTTTGCAATTTAAAAATGAAAAATGGAAAAAGAAGAAAAAATATGGGAGGGCATACAAAAGGTATGCTACCTGACGTGCTAAACCCAACATTCTTTTAAGTTAATTAAATTACGTTGAATAATTGGACCGTAAGAAAAGATGAAAACAGATTTGTTAAATCAATAATTACTCCTATAGGATGTTAAACTAAAAAAAGGCTTTTGAAAACAACAAATAAATATTCATTTTACAATAAGATATATGTAATCAAATTGTTGAAAAATTATTTGTTAAAATTATTATGTAATTTGTAATGTACACTATAATTTTATAAATATAAATTATTGTGCAATATAAAAACAAAAAGGCAAAAAAAATGAAAAAAAAATGCACAACGTGCCATTATGAAATTTAAAAATAGCAATAAGCATTATAATAATTAAATAAGCATTATAAATAGCAATAATTAATTGTGAAATTGTTTGGACTTTGCACTGAATTAGTTTTTCAATTAATCTGAACTAGTCAATGCTCACTAGTAGTTGTGTCACCTTTTCATAGTGCTAAGTGCTAAAACGGGCATGAGAGATAGTTGAACTAGATTGGGTTGCCGGCCTATAGAAGGGGCCATAAAGAGACTCAAGACAAGAGACACAAAAAGAAGTGGAAACACAATTGAGTTCTTCATTGCTTCTTCTTCCGCCCAGCACGTTTGGAAACTTTTTTTTTTTTTTTTTTTTTAAATTGGACTGGCTGCCGGGCTGTCGCTCAGCCATAGATTGAGTTCTTCATTGCTTCTTCTTCCGCTCAGCACGTTTGGAAACTTTTTTTTTAAAGGGATAATTTCACAAACCTCCCCTGAGGTTTCTGACACTTGCACTGAGACCCCTCCAGGTTTTAAAAATTTCACCTAGCTCCCCTGGCAGAGTATTGGAGTCCATTGCTGACATGCAGAGCATTGAAATGACCAATTTGTCCTTAGAGTTTGGTTTAGAGTTTGGCAGAAATATTAATTAAGAGAAGCATGCTTTGGGACTGCACATGCTTTCTGTGTTTCCATCTTCTGTTCCCCTTAAAGTTCGCCGGCAGTTTAGTGAGCTTTTCGATACCATAGAGGAAAATTTTAGTGAGCCTCTCCATCCTGAGCTCTTGGCATGAAGGCTGGCAATACATGTCTGCACTTTCAATTATGATAGAATACTTAATGTCGCTGAGAAACTTAGGCTCTCATTTAGTGCTTACGAAAAAATGGGAGAGAAATTTTTTTTTTCTAAAAAATATAAGAACTGAAAACCTGATTTATAGCAGCCAAGAAACTCGATTTCAATATCATGAGCATGATACTTATATCTCACAAGGGACTATACTCTGGACAAGTCTCTTTGAAAAGATGAACCATAGTGGATTCTAAATGTGGTGTATATATCGGTGATGTGGGAGTGATGGAGTTTTACAAAATATAAATTTCTGGTTTTTGTGAATATGGAGAAAAATGGGTGCCAGAATCTATGATGTTATGAGCACCACAATGGCCACTAAAGGCAAACATCCAGGTTGAAACAATTTTGACAAATGATGCTATAAGTATATGGCAAAGTGGATCAGCTTATGGAGCTTCTAGCATCTCATTAAAATAGGCAAGATTAGTTTATGCTGTAGCAGTGAGATGTTGCCACGCCTCATTGATCTCCTTGTGATATCTCATGAAAGTTTTATCAATTCTCAACTATCCGAAAAATTTTGTGTACTAGAATTGGAGTTATAAATTGGATCAGGAAAATTTAGACAAAACTTTAACAGCAATGCCCATGATTGATGTTTGACAAGAAAAGAATTAATTCTTGCAATTTAGAACCAACCATCCAAAAAAAAAAAAAAATTCCCATTGCAGAGAGCGGGCTCTGAGATTTGTACCTGTGGTTTAGCAAACCAAGTCATGGACCTGAAAGTAGACAACCTCCTAAATAGATCATCACGGTCCCATGGTCTGCAAGATGGAGCTTGTACTGAACCACTTGAACCTGATGACACCTGCATTTCCTCAGTTGAATTTAACCTTGATTTTGGACCAAGTATGCCAATGCAGAGAATGCATTCGGCCGTTTCTTGCCTTTCAACCACCGAACTCCATCAGCACTACTGTTTTAACCAATATTGTCAAAAAAAAAATCATTGGCAACAAGTTTCACTCTCTCTGGTTGTAGCATTCCAAATCTTATTGACAAACACAAGCACACAAAAGAAATGCAAGATCAGTTCCTTGCTCGGAGCTATCCAATTCTTGTAGATATAGGCAGATACACACCAAGGGTGAAGCAAAAAAAAAAAATTTTTTTTTGAAATACATGCATATATGCACACAACAAACACACACAAAACACTCCCTTTAAAGGTACATTTTGGTATTTCAGGTAGAAACTTCTATTTTAACCACTCAAACACAGTATCATACTCTACAAACAAGAAAAATTCAACCAAAGTTATACAATATTAATAATTAATATTTCGGCTTTATAGCTTATGCATCAACATTTCAGTTATCAGCCAAAATCATACAATATTAGTAACTAGTATTTCAGCCTTATAGCTTATGCATCAACATTTCAGTTCACAATAACTTCGAAATCCAAACAAGAAAAATTAAATAACAGAGAAAACAACGAAGTGACAACTTCAGCAGCTAAAGTTCACTTTCAACCAAAAGAAAAAAAAAGAGTACATAAAGAGCAATGAGAAGCCGTTGATAAAAAATTGTGAAGGAGTTATATAAAGAGAATTAACGAGGAAAGCTGAAGAAGAAGACCTGATGGTGGTGGAAGCAGAGGAGCCGTTATTATATAGATGATTATTATTGCTATTATTAGGCTTGGATTTGGTGGTGGCGGTGGTCGGAGATTCCGGAAACAGCCTCTCTAATATTGCTTCGATTCTCTTTTGTGCCATCTCTCCTTATTGCTAAAATTTTTGGCCTGAAAAAAAAAAGGCTCAAAAGAATCTGGACATAATAGAATTTACTTGGATTTTGAAGAGCTAAAAATGGTAGTAAATTGCTCCGGCAGCAAGCGCCCCCAATGTTCTGAGGCCACATCTGACTGGATGGCCAAGAAGTTGGTTTTGTCATGACTGGATGGCCAATGTGCTGAGAGCTCTAATTGCAGCACAGCAAATTCACTTTGTTATCGAAAAAAGAAACAGTAGAGGACTAAATTGAATAAAAAATTAAAGCTAAAGAACTAAATTGACCAAATAAAAGTTGAGGGACTGAATCATCAATTTTTCATCCATTCAAATTCTCCCGCGTACTTTTCAACAACTACCCCCACAGTCTCCTTATTCCCCTTTGGCCTTTTCTTATTCTTTTCAGCCGGATTTTGATCCAGTGAAGACCCACAAATGAGGGTCAAGACGATGCTGCCGATGACTATCCAGTGGAACCGCTGCGGTAGTTTCATCTACAAAGATACGAAATCGAATTCTTGAAAAGAAGATTCAAAAATTCCGGTTTTACATCAAGTGCAACATTTGTTCGTCTGAGAATACATTCAAGACTGATCCCAAGAACAGCGATTACGTTGTTGACTTTGGTGCAAAGCAGTATTTCGAGCCATGGCAGACGGAGGAGGAGACTGAAGAGATGGGTGGTGCGCTTAAGGAGTTGGAGAAAAAAGGCAAACGAGAATTGCACGTTCTTGCTGATTTGGAAGAACTTAAAACCGGTAAAATCGAGACAAGCAGCAGTAGGTTTGGATGCTCTGATTTTTCGTGTCCGGCATCAGGCTGATGAGGAGGAGAAGAGAAAGAAGTTGTATGAGGATGATGATGAAGATGAAGCACTTATTAGGTCTGTGTTCAGGGGAGGAGGATTAAGAGATCAAGAAGCCTATGGTTTTGTGAGAAGGTGAGGAGAAGGCATGATGAAACCAATGCTACATTGGCAAAAGTAAATCATCCATCACCAAGCCCTGTACTGTGAGAATTTCTATTCTGAAGAAGCCGCTTTTGGATTCTAATGCAAACAAAGCGAGAAAAAGGGGAGAAACCAATCAGCAGGTTGAACAAAATTTGGCTGTTACTAACAATAGTTTGCACTCAATTTTCCAGTATGAAAGCTATGAAGATTGTTAAAGTTGGAAGTTTTTCTATTCTTTTGTAAGAAAGAATTGCATGACATGTCAACTTAAAGAGCAACTGATTTTTTTTTTCTTTCTCTCATTTTGCTATTATCATTTACAATTTGTTATTTTAGCAACTTTGATACAAAAAAATATATATATATTGATCTATACCCTGTTCTTGGGGATTTTTACTCAATTCTGCTTCTGCTGTTCTATATTTACCTGCAGAATCCATTGCATGTATTTACTTGAAGAATTCATTGCAGGACTCAGTTCATTAAGTAAGAAACTATTCGTTTTCTTACTTTTTTAACTGTTTATACGGTAGATGTACTTAAGACTCAAAGTTCAATTCGAAATACGAAGTAACCTAATTTCTAAAGAATGGGAGAAATACTTTTGGATTTCAAAAATATTTTTTCCTTGTGAATTTGTGAGTTAAACACGTTAATATGGAAGCTTTCTGGATCAGAATTTTGGAATGTATAGCATTTTAGCACCAGTCTAAGTACCAGCATGTTCTTTGGATTCAATGTTGGAAACCTCTTCCATCCTGAATCTGAACTAAACGAAATAGGGCTGAAATTAAAAGTTCCAATGTTTTATCTTGCTCATCAGCATTCTGCTTGATTCTAGAATCACGAGGAGCCCCTTTCAACTCACTCAAACTAGCATAAACATTAGCAAGAACAACTGGTGCAAGAGCAATTTTAGTGCCTCCAGCTAGATAGACTGCAATAGGTTTAACATTTTTCTGTACAGTTGCATCAGTAGATGTGTTGCAAAACACAAAACTAGACAGCCATAGTGCAAGAAATGCTCCGTGCAGTTTTTGTACATTTCTCACTTCCACCATCCATGAATTTAGTCAACCAAAGACTGTGTGAGGCATTCTTAGATTACTTCTTGTCCAACTCGAATCTAGCTAAAAATGGTTTCTTTTCTACCTCTGCACATTCATCGGTGTCAGCAGGCCTAAAACCAGGAGCAGAATAACAACCCAAGATTATCATATCTTCCAAATTCCAATCCAACTGTAGCTTCTTCCCAAGGAGATGTTAAATGTATTTGCCTCAGGACACCATTTCTCCCCAAACCTAAAAATCTGGTCTTCATTTGGGGATCCCGGGTTGGTGGAATTCATTACAGCATCAAATATTCCAGCTTTTCTCCCTACTGAATGGTGCAAAGAATTCTTGTGATCAGCCCATCTTTTCCAATCTTTTTGCAGGTTTCCCATCCACCAAAGTTCACTTTAAGATTTGATTTCTTGAAAATGTCAACAAAGTTGGATTCAGGTCCTGCAAAACGGATGTTTGGGGGAAGATCAAGAACTGGCCTGTCGATTGAGGCTACTGAAGGGAGTCAGGAAATGGGCTATTCAAACATTCTTCCCCGGCTGGAGATACCATCTATTCATTCCGTTCTACCATAAGGTTATCAACTAAAACCTTTTCCATTGCAGAGAATTTCAGTGTATGTAGACTCCAACTATAGAGTGGTGTTATTGAGTGCTTTACGGTTTGATGTTGCATTTGTATCAAACGTGGACCAAAGATAAAGAGATTTTGATATAGCACCTCAATATATTTCATTATTCTTTTCGAATGCTGAATATTTAACCACACAAATTGCACACTCTGATTTTTATTAATTTCTTTGATTGTATAAAAGATCTAGCCAAAAATAAATTTTTTTTTATAGAGGATTGGAAATATATTTTACCACATGCACTATTTTTGAGCCATTGCATTTGTATGTAAACAAAAAAAATGAGAGATGCACGCACGTTGCACGCACTAATTTTTACTAGTCATTATCATTATAGTTTTGGCAATAGGGAGTACTATAAGAATGTAAACATATTTTGATCTTAGTTTTGTTATACCTAAATTACCCTCACGTCTTTTAATTGGAACTGTTGCATTTCAATCATGACACTAATAAGAAAAATAAAAAGTTTCAATAAATTACATCTCAAAAATGTTAGTAATTAAAATTAAAAACTGTCCATTTACAACTATATTCACCAATCATTTCCCTCATCTCCAATTATTGTATGTGTTAAAATTATCTCCAACTATTATATTGTTATGTGTGATAATTAAAATTAACTACTATATTTTATATGCATATTGGTTAGAAGAAAATCACAATTAATAAGAGGACAAAAGGTTTTCAACAATTAATGACAAAACAAAAGGTTAAATTGATTATTAAATTCACTATATTATGTCATATTGATTAAGAAAACTCCCAAAAAAAAGTTATCGATAATTTCTAAAAATATATAACGTAAAATTTTGCAAATATTGAAATTGATAAAAATTTGTTGTATCCAAATTAAAATGTTTTAGTATATATTTTGCTTAGGTTTTGTTGCATGCATTGATTTGACACAACATAGAAAATTTCCTCTAGTTATTATCACAACCCAAGTAACATATGCAACGACTTAGTTTAAATACGATAATATTCCATTTTCAAAATTTTTGTAATTGTAATATGCACAATAAACTTTTAATTTCTTTGTATATAATAAACATTTTGTACAACTAACAATTGCTTAATTTTATTTAGGGTTAATCACATTTACCTCCCTTGAGATTTATCCATAATACTAAATAAACCTTATGGTTTGGCCAAATAACCAATACCCCCCTCATAGTACTTTTGGGGCTCTAGAACTTTTCCTTTGTTAATGTCACTATAATAAGCATTAATGGTTGATAATGGCAAGGGCCTTATTGATAAACGTTTAGATGGTCAAAGGGGTTGAATGTCATTTGACTTAACCACATGGTTTGTTTGGTAATATGGACAAAGCTCAAGGGAGGTAAATGTAATTAACCTTCATTTTATAGTTTCTTAGTTTATATTATGCCTATAATCTAATAAAGTTCTGTACAAAAATTTAGTATATTAAAAGTTTTATGTTTTGGAAAAATATCTTCACACGCTTTGCACATGAGTTAGTACTAGTTTCTTTAAACGTATAAGGATCCGTTTAGGGTTGCAGCAGTTTATTAAAAAGTACTTCCCTAATAGAGCTTTTAAAAATATTGTTTGGAGATATAGTTCAATAAGTACTTATTGTATTGGATAAGTTGTAATTTGAAAATTTTAAAAGTGTTTATCTCTTTATTTGGTTCATAATATAGGAAAAAATGCTTAAATTTGATGTTTTATTTTTGAAATCACAAAAGTTATTCTAAGAGCTCCAAATTTGAGCTTTTGCTTAAAGTGTTTTTAACGCCAATATCTTTACTTCTAATTTTATGGAATGATGTTCATCAAATACTTTAAAAGTACTTTTAGCACTTAGAAGTGTTTTTTTTTTTTTATCAAAAAAACCGCAACCCCAAACGAGTCTGAAAGACTTTGGTGATACAAAAAGTTAGAACTTAGCCATCCGCTGGTTTCTAATGTATTTTCTGTTTCTTTTTTCAGATAACCATATTAAATCAGTGGACTCTCTGATTTATGTAATGTTTGTGGACAATTAATCTTGACACTTTCTTGTGTACTGAAATCTTATTATACAAATTAAATGCATATTACCATTTTCCAGAGAAATTCAAATATGCTACTCAAGGATGATGACAAAGCTTAATGAAAATTATCCGTATAGAATTTTAGTTGGTCACTCAGTGAAATGCTCAAATTAATCAAAAATATTAGGGCGCTTAATGAAGTTGAAATGCTGACTATTAGGGAGGTTTAGCAGTTGTATGATTTGCTAAGTTGAAAACTGTTCTTGAACTGATCATTTTTTGGTATCATACAGATCAGAATTACTTAGAAGAGTAAATGTGAAAAATTCAAGTTTACAAATAATGCCTTTTCTACTTAAAATGAGGATGTTCACATCTGAAATAATTGCATTCGGATTCCATGGGTTCATTTTTGAAAGATTTGCTTCTGGTGTAAAGTCTAAAAAATTGGTCGACAAAATATATTGGTTCTCCATAAGTGCACAAGTCAGGTAAAGCCCTATCTGATTAAAACGAGAATAACAAGGACAAAAAGATGAAATATGCCTAATTGAAACTAGCAGTCATGTTGATTACTACATTGGTTTTCCACCTAACTGACAAACATCTCCAATCCTGCTACCGTGTGGCTTGTTACCTTCTTCACTTCCAATTCTATTCATGTAAGCTTGCATGTTTGCTAATATTTGTGAGCTAAATTTGAAAGTGCAACTGCTGTGGCTTCCATTTCCATGGATGATCATGTCATGTGCATGTCCTGTGTTACCTGGATTTCCTGTGTAAATGTTCCTTCCTACTGGTTGCCAAGAGGGTTGTAGGCTTCCTGAAGTTCCATCTGCTGCAGCTGCTGATGAAGAATTTCCTTGAATTTGAGAACCTGAAGATATCTTCAATTCATCAACAGCAGCACAATAGCTGCTTGCACGATTATTGCACCCTTTCAGCACCCCTCCTGGAACTTGTTTTTGTTCCGACAAGCTGTTCAATTCCTGATGAAAGGCAGGGGGAAGATTTAAGTCAAAAACAACTTCTTGTTTGCACTGCTTGGTAGAAGTTTCTGTCCGCACAAACGGACTGTGGTTATTTTTGGGAGGAAATCCAGGAGGAACATCAGCATCATTGCCTTCTGTTTTGATCTGCTTCTGGGGAAAATTTTGTATCCTCACAATTGGAGGGTGGTTCCCTTTGCGCAAATGCAAAGGTGAAACATCAGAGTCATTGCTTTCCGGCTTAATTTTTGCTTCGATAGAAGCTCTTTCTTTTGCAACAATAGTATTACCACAGTATCCAGTG